TACCCACATATTCACTGATGTATTAATGGATAATAAAAAAGTGGTCCGTCTATACAATACATAAAGGAGAAAGCTTTTGTAACACAATTTGAGTCATGGACTATTGTGCTCAGTCACTAGTAACAAAAAAGACACATACTGGGAGCTGGGGATATAGGTAAGTTGGTAAAGGGCTTGCCTAGAATCCACAGAGCCCTACCTGAGTTGGATCCTGAACACTACACAAAGCAGTTGTGGTGGCTGGCACATTCTTGCAATCCCAGCACTTGGGTGTTGGACAGCAAGAGGATCAGAAGTTCAAGGTTATCCTCACTATTCAGTGAGTTTGAGGCCAATATGGGATATAAAAAATTCTGTCATAACAAACAAACAACCCAAATATTGCATGACTCCAATTATATTACATAGAAAAGTAAAAACTGTAGAAAACAGAAAGATGATGGTGGTTGCTAGGAGCTGGAAGAAGGAGATGTTACTGCTTAACGACTATGGAGATTCATTCATTCATTCTTTCTTTCTTTCGTTCATTCATTCATTGGTCTTTCTGAGTCAGGGTCCCCTCTAGTCCCAGCTGGCCTCGAACTCACAGAAATTGCCTGCCTCTTCCTTCCAAGTGCTAGGATTAAAGGTGTGTACCACCATGCCCAGCCAACTACGAAGATTTAATTTTACAAGATGAAAGTTATGGAGATGAATGGTGTTGCTGCAATATTTACCACATTTTTTTTTCTGTAAACTGAAAAATATATCGTAAGTTCCTTATTAAACCTGGAATAGGTCTGTAAAAGAATGGAATTCTCTTCCTGTTGCCCTACGGAAATTTCCCACACAAGTAAGCAGTTACACTTTAGAAAGTAACATAAATTATGACATTGGAAGTCTTCACTCTAATCAGAAACACCAAAGACCTTGTAGAAACATACAAAAGCAAAAACAGGAGTTAAAAAGTGAATGGAGGGGGCTAGAGAGATGGTTTAGCAGTTAAGAGCACAAGTCCAGTTCCCAATACCCACAGGGCTGCTCACAACCACCTGTACTTCCAGTTCCAGGGGATCCATTGCCCTCTTCTGACCTCCTGCATGCACATGGTGCACATATGTACACTCAGGCACACACACATAAATAATTTTCTAAAAACTTAAAAGCATTTTTTTTTATTATTAACTCTGTGTATGTGTGTTTCTGTGCATGTTAGTGCTAGTGCCCACTGAGGCCACAGGCATTGGATCCCATGGAGCTGGAGTTATAGACAGTTGTGAGCTGCATAATATGGGTGCTGGGAACTGAATTCAGGTCTTCTGCAAGAGCAGTGTACCCTTTTTTTTCTTTTATTTTTCAGAAGAAGCATTTCATTACAGCTTTAACATACTCAATAACAATTTCCACAGCAAAAATAGATCTCTTTCAAAAGTGGCTATAAAATTTTTAGGTTCACAGTTGAATTAATACAGTTATACAATATTGAACTCAGTATAAACTTAAAAAAGATCTCCATTCCATTTTAAAATATACTGTTTCTTACAGAAAGACTCCATTGTTTTTGCTAATAATGCTTAGATGTTGGCGCATGTGTCTCTACTCTGTATGTATCTAATTATTACTAGTCATGGTCGGTTGCACTCGGATCCTTGGCACCTATGTATGGATATAAAGTCATCGGGTAGATTTCAATGGTAATGTTTATCACCTACTAATTAACATGATGTAAATTTTTATACTTCTTCCTCAAATATAACTCATTTTTTAAATGTGTTGATTTTTTTGTGTGTGTATATGACACAGAACATCCCAATCTTATTCATCTATGTACCCACTTCCCAGATGGCACCCTCCCATAGTGCCCCTGCCACTAGAGCCCTTTTACTCTGTCTTCCCTGCAACTGTCTGCTGTGTCTTTGTTTTAGGAAGGTCAGCTGTTCCTCTTCTAGCAGCAGTCAGTTGTCAATATTCCTTTAGATAAGATTGGGGTCTGCTGTTCATCTTCCCAGTTCTATGCTGGGTTACTATCTGGGAGTCTCTTGGGCCACCCTGGCTAACAACTCAAAAGAAGTTACCTTCTATCTGGCAATGTTTCTTGTTATGTAGCCTTTGGTTATACCTATGGACTCTTAAAAAATTATATTGGCCTCTTTGGTCTTTGGTTATACTTTTCCTTTTGGGTGTTTAGAGCCATACAGTTGGCCCAGATAAACCAATTTATTTTTACTCTTATGGCCATTTGAGGATCTGTTCCTCAGGGGTCACATGGGCTTGGGAGGAGCCCCTGGCTCCTTTCTTTTATCAGTTCCATCTATGTGAAGATAAGTTAAAGGTCCAAGAGCAGTGTACACTCTTTAACTACTGAGCTATGTCTCTAGGCCAATAAATTAATTTTTTAAAAAGTGAAAGCAGGGGGCTGGGCATGGTGGCCTTTAATCCCAGCACTTAGGAGGCAAGAGGCTGTCAGATCTCTGTGATTTCAAGGCCAACCTGGTCTACATAGTGAGTTCCAGGTCAGCTGGAACCACTAAAAGGGGCTGGAGAGATGGCTCAGGGGTTAAGAACACTGGCTGTTCTTGCAGAAGACCAGGATTCAAATCCCAGCACCCACATGGCAGCTAACAACTGTCTGTAACTCCAGTTCCAGGGGATCCAACAGCATCTTCTGTCCTCCTCAGGCATTGCATGACATGGGTGCACTTACCTACATGCAGGCAATACATGCATACACATAAAAAAATAAAAATAATAAGTAAATTAAAAAAAGCGAATGGAGGGATGGTAAGATGGCTCAGTGGGTAAAGCACTTGCCGAGTAAGTCTGGCAACCTGAGCTCGATTTCCATAACCCATGTAAGTGTGGAAGGAGAGAACAGACTCCACAAAGATGTCCTCTGACTGCCACATGTATGCCATGACAGGCATACCCTCCCATTGTCCACATATAATATCAATAAATAAAATGCAATACACAATTATGAGGGCTGGGCATAATTGCAAACACCTTTAAAAACCTTTAATTCCAGCACTCAGGAGGCAGAGGCAGGAAGATCTCTCTGAGTTCCAGGCCAGCCAGGGCTACATAGTAGACTCTGTCTCCAAAAAAAACCAGTTAAGGGGCTGGAGAGATGGTTCAGCGGTTAAGAACACTGACTGTTCTTACAGAAGACCCAAGTTTGAATCCCTGCACCCACATGGCAGCTAACAAATGTCCTTAAATCCAGTTCCTGGGGATCCAACAGCCTCTTCTGTCCTCCGCGGGCATCGCACAACACGGGTGCACTTACCTACATGCAGGCAATACACACATACACATAAAATAAAAATAATAAAATATTTTTTAAAAGCAATTAAAGTTTTTTAAATAAAAAAATTCAATGAGGGACTGGAGAAGAGATGATCAGTGGTTAAGAGCACTTACTGCTCTGTCAGAAGACTAGAGTTCAGATTCCAGCACCCACACAGTGGGTGGCTCACAAACACCTGTAACTCTAGCTCCAAGGGATCTGACATCCGCTTTTGGGTCCTGTGAGCACCATATACACATGTGAATATACAGACACACACATAAATAAAATACAAGTTAAAAAAGAAAACAAAACAAAAACCAGAATAAAAACAACCAGCTACAATATCACTAAAACTATTTATGTTGGAATAAATTTATTAAGGCATATTCAAAACCTCCATACTGAAAATAATTAAAATACTGTTTAGAAAATTGAAAGGAAACTTAAATATAGACACACACACAGGGTCTATAATAATAAAGACAGGGTTTCCCTGTAGTCCCAGCTGTCCTGGAACTCACTATGTAGACCAGGCTGGCCTTGAACTCACAGAGATTCACCTGCCTCTTTCTCCCAAGTGCTGGGATTACAGGAGTGCACCACCATGCCTGGATAGAAATGGAATATTTTAAAGTACATTTGGAAAAATCATCTACCTACTTACCTATCTACCTAGCTAGCTTCCTTCCTTCTCTCCCTTCTTTTCTTTCTTTCTTCTAATTAAACCAGGGCCATGTGCATTCTAGGTAAGCATGCTACAACTGAGCCATACACACAAATTTAACTCCCCCCCATAAAGATGGTTTTAAAATTTTTTTTCAAAGTATCTATTTTTTTAAAAAAATATTTTATTTTTTATTTTATGTGTATGCGTGTATTGCCTGCATGTAGGTAAGTGCACCCATGTTGTGCAATGCCTACGGAAGACAGAAGAGGCTGTCGGATCCCCTGGAACTGGAGTTACGGACAGTTGTTAGCTGCCATGCGGGTGCTGGGATTCGAACCAGGGTCTTCTGCAACAACAGTCAGTGTTCTTAACTGTTGAGCCATCTCTCCAGCCCCCAAGGTATCTATTTTTATATGTATGCTTTGCCTGCATATATGTAAGTACATCCATGTCATGTAATGCCCAGAAGCCAGAAGTAGGCGTCAGATCCCTGGAATTGGGAGTTATGTATGTTTGTTAGCCACCCTTTGGATGCTGGGAACAAACTCAGCTCATGCCTGTAATCTGAGCACCCAGGAGGTTGAGGCAGCAGGAATACCATGAGTTCAAGGCAAGCCCAGCTTGGCTAGGTAAGACACTTGCCTCAAAAAAAAAAAAAAAAAAAAAAAAGATGTATTACTATTTAGAAACCAGACTATAATGACTGATAGTTAAACCAAAGAGCAGTTAATGAGCATATGGGCAAGAATGAACATGATATAAAAGAATATATTAGCCGGGCGTAGTGTCACACGCCTCTAATCCCAGCACTCAGGAGGCAGAGGCAGGCAGATCTCTGTAAGTTCAAGGCCAACCTGGTCTACACAGTGAGTTCCAGGACAGCTGGGACTTCAGGGAGACCCTGTCTCAAAAAAAAAAAAAAGATTACACAAGAGTTTAAAGCAACCCTGGGCTACATGAGACCCTGTCTCAAAACAAAAAATAGATTTTTTTTTTTTGTTAAATGTAAAGTATTGGCAAACAAGATTATTTACCGTCAATAAAAGTCAAGAAATAGTTTTTCACCTTAAGTTTTGGATATACGTATCGTAGAGAATCTGCAGTTCCCATGTCAGCCTCATCAGGAATGCAAACAATATCTGGTTTCATTTTCATCTTAAATTCTGCACACAGAGCCTTTTGGACATCCTTGGTTGTAACCACAATGACTTCTATAGGATGAAAGAAAAGAAAAAGGACTGGTATAGAAACTCATTCAGACCATTTCTTTCACTATTTCAATCAGGTATGATAGGATGTGAGGGCGATCTGGCTGCGACATCTGTCACCCCACTGATTGCCAGGGTTGATTCGGCTGCTCTGGCTGGCTAGGCAGGTATCCCCTTCCTAGGATATCCCCTTCCCATGTGCGTCCCTCCCAAAGCTGTGCACTCGGTCGAAGAGGAAAACCTTCCCCGATAGAGGAGGACCGGTCTTCGGTCAAGGATATCTGAGTAGCTGTGCTTCCCTGCTAGAACCTCCAAAGAATCTCTCAATTAGGTATGATAATAACAGCTTCTGCCATCATAGGTGACACTGCCCTCTTCCATGCCATGGTGGACTACATCCCACTGACCCATAATCGTTCCTTTTTTCTTTTTCCTTTCTCTTCTTCCTTTCTCTTTCAAATTATTTAACCTTCTTCTCTTCTTCCCAATTTAGTCACTAGCTCATTCATGCAAGAAATACAGTATATCTGACAAAGGGAAAGAAAGCAGTGAGAATTCAGAAAAGACCTCAACATGCCTGGCTCAAAATCATTTCTTCCTTTTTTTTTTTTGGTCGTCAGATCATCTTTTATTGACATAGTTTCTCTTGCTTAACTAGCTGGGCATTCCACTGCACCACTGTTGATGTCATCTATGACGTCATGAGGGTGATGGCCATCTACATTGTAGCCCACAGATTGTGTAGTACCCAGGATCTCTTTAATAGTTCCAGAAAGTTCTCTGGCTAAGGACCAGTGCCCCATCTGTCGGGCAATGGTGACAATCTCATCAAAACTGATATTTCCACTGTGCGTAATGTTTTTCTGCTTCTTTCTGTCTCTTGGTGGCTCCTTGAAGGCTTTGATGATCAGGGCAGAGGCAGAGGGTACAACTTCAATCTGGGCCTGTCTGTTCTGAATAGTCAGCTTCACTGTAATCCTCAGACCTTTGCGATCCCCGGTTGCCTTGGCAATGTCATCACCAACTTTTTTGAGACAGACCCAGGGGCCCAATCTTGGGGGCCAAGGTGAATGTGGCGCCGACTTCGCCTCCAGTGCACCTCAGATAGATGACTTTGATCTCGTTGGGGTCGAACTTGGGTGGCATGATGGAGGCGGCTGGTGTCGGATGAACCCAGATTCGGGACGACCGAAGAAAGTTGCACCTAAGCCTCCTCCGAGCCAAAAGCCGAAAAAAACTCAAAATGATTTCTATTCTCATGAAACATATTGTGAAAATATTAGTCATGGAAAGAATTAGCTAAGGAAGACTTCATAGAAAACTTTCAAAGCAGACTCAAATGCAAGACATTTCTTCAGTACATACTGTATGTAAAATGATGACATTATAAGTTGAGTATAGTAGCATACATATGTAATCCCAGTACTCAGGAGGCTGAGATGGGAAGATTGCCAGGAATTTAAGCTTCAGCTACATAGTGAGTTTCAGATCAGCCTAGGCTACACAAGCAGGCTTCTGTCTCAAAATTAACAAAGCAAGCAAGCAAGCAAACAAGACTGACATTCCAAAGATCAATTAGATATTGTACCTATGCTTAGGGAGACCACAAAATCGCACATGCCATTAATGATGATCCTTGAGAGGTACTAAGATAGGGAAAAAAGTAGAAGCAGAGTATTTACTTCTGTTTGGCAGGTATTGTAGAGCACATATGTCATCCCTAGCACTCAGTAGGCTGAAGCAGAAGGGCTATGAGTTTGAACCTAGCCTGGGCTTACAAAGTGATTTTGAAGTCAGCCTTACTTTTGTCAGATATAGGCCTAAAATCCCAGCTACTTGGGAGGTTGAGGCACGAGGATTATAAATTCAAGGTTACAGAATGAGTTCAAGGCCAGCTTGAGCAATTTTTAGTGAGACCTGGTCTCAAAAAAAAAAAGGGATGGGGAATATGGTAGAGTACTTGCCTCACATGTGCAAATATCACAATGAATAATTAATACACATACACAGATATATCATATGTATGATGATAATAACAATACAAAATAAGGGGATAGCGAAATGGCTTAGAGGGTAAGGGCACCGTGCCTGAGCCTCCCAATCCTAGTTCAATCCCCAGAACCCACATAGGAAGGAGAGAGCTGGTTCCTGCAAGCTGTCATCTAACCTCCACAGGTAGCCACAGCATGCATGCACACACACAAAACAAATAAATTTATACATTTTTTTTTTTTTTTTGTCTTTTTGAGACAAGGTCTCCCTGTAGCTGTAGCCTGGATTTGCTAATGGAGACCAGGCTGGCCTTGAACTCACAGAGATCCGCCAGCCTCTGCCTCCTGAGTGCTGGGATTAAAGGTGTGTGCCACCACATATACAATTTTTTTTAAAGTTCTATATTTAGGCTTGGAGAAATGGCTCAGCAGTTAAGAGCACTGGCTGCTCTTGCAGAGGACCCAGGTTCAAATCCCAGCACCCACACGGCAGCTAACAACTGTTCATAACTCCATTTCCAGAGGACCTGACACCCTCTTCTGATCTTCATGGGCACTGAAAGACAGGTATGCTTACATGTATGCAGGCAATACACTCATATACAAAAAATAAAAATAATAATTTTTAGCTGAGTGTGGTGGCGCATGCCTTTAATCCTAGCACTTGGGAGGCACAGGCAGGCAGATCTCTGTGAGTTCAAGGCCAGCCTGGTCTACATCGTGAGTTCCAGGACAGTGGAGGCTACAGGGAGAGGTCTCAAAAAGACCAAAAAAAAAAAATTTTTTTTTTAAAGTTCTACATGTAGGTCTGGAGATATCACTCAGTTGGTAGAGTGCTTGCCCTGCACGCATAAAGTCATGGATTAAATCCCCAACACTGCATAAAATTCAGTTTGGTGGCACATGTCTGTAATCTCAGCACTCAGGAAATATAGGCAAAAGGATCAGAAGTTCAAGCCTCGGCTACACAGTTTGAAGCCAACCTGAGTTATCCAAAACCCTGCCTCAAAAATTAATTTGTAAGAGCCAGACAGGGTGGCACAGGCCTTTAATTCCAGCACTCAGGAGGCAGAGGCCAGTCTGTCTATATATTGAGTTCTAGGCCAGCTGTGGCTACAGGAAGATGCTGTATCAAAAGAGGGGCATGGGGAGGAGGGTGGGGGGGCGCCTCTGGAGAGACTGCTCAGCAGCTAAGAGCACTGGCTGCTCTTTCATCAGACCTGGGTCTGGTTCCAGTATCCACATGTTGGCTAATCACCATCCTTAATTCCAGTTCCATGCAGGCAAAACACTCATACACATAAAAATAATTAGTGCATGACTTTAGTCCCAGCACTTAGGAGGCAGAGGCAGTTGGATCTCTGAGTTCAAGGCCAGCCTGGTCTACATAGTGAGTTCCAAGCCAGCTGGGGTTATAGGGAGACCCTGTCTCAAAAAGACCAAAAATAAATAAACAATAAAAATTAATAAATCAAAATATTTATTTAGTAAGCACCCATTAAATTCTGAGTCTTAATAAGAAAGAATTTTGGGGCTGGAGGGATGGCTCAGCAGTTAAAAGCACTAGTTGTTCTTCTAGAGGAAGAGGATTCGAATCCCAGTACCCACATGGTGGCTAACAGCCGTACATAACTCCAGTTCCAGGGGATCTGATGCTGTCTTCTGGTCTCCATGGGCACTGCATAGAAACTCATACACACATTAAAACAATAAAAAGAATAAATTTTAAAAGAATTTCTATATAGTAGGTATTACATATACAACTAGTGCTAAGTACGAACTAAAGATACAACAAAAGTAAAAAGCAGAAAATGTTACAGTGACAAATGCATAAAGTTACTCAAGGAAAGAATATTTTATTCTATTTTTCTAGAGACAAGGATGCTCTAAAACTTTCCAGGTTGTCCTTGAACTTGTGATCCTGCTGCCTCAGCCTCCTAACTAGGTGGGATTATAGGCTTGCACCACCACCTGTCAAAAATACCATATTTTAAGGGGCTGAAGGGGTGGTTCAGCAGTTAAGAGCACATACTGCCCTCGTAGACAACATGAGTTTAGATCTTGGCACTCACATCAGGTAGCTCACAAATAAGTTTAGCTTCAGGAGGATACAACTCCAGCTTCAGGAGGATCTTTGGCCTCTAAGGGCACGTGCACTCACATGCACATACCCACACACAAGCACACAGACACACATACCTAATTAAAATTAAAAATATTTATTTATTTTATTTTATTTTATTTATTTTTTAGTTTAGATCTTGGCACTCACATCAGGTAGCTCACAAATAAGTTTAGCTTCAGGAGGATACAACTCCAGCTTCAGGAGGATCTTTGGCCTCTAAGGGCACGTGCACTCACATGCACATACCCACACACAAGCACACAGACACACATACCTAATTAAAATTAAAAATATTTATTTATTTTATTTTATTTTATTTATTTTTTGGTCTTTTTAATTTCTTTTTTCTTTTTTTTTTTGGTCTTTTTGAGACAGGGTCTCCCTGTAGCCTCAGCTGTCCTGGAACTATGTGAACTAGGCTGGCCTCGAAATCAGAGAAATCTGCCTGACTCTGCCTCCCAAGGGCTGGGATTAAAGGCGTGCGCCACCACACCCAGCTAAAATTTATTTATTTAATTTATTTATTAAATTAATTTAATTTTTTGGTCTTTTTGAGACAGGGTCTCCCTGTAGCCCCAGCTGGCCTGGAACTCACTATGTGGACCAGGGTGGCTTTGAATTTACAGAGATCCACCTGCCTCTGCCTCCCGAGTGCTGGGATTAAAGGCGTGCACCACTACGCCTGGCAAATTTATTTTTTTTTAATAAAAAAATTTTAAAGATATTTAAAATGTACTAAGATATAAACTCCATCTGTAAGACAGGTCTCTAGCTGGGTGTGGTGGTGCATGTCCAGTACTCTGGAGGCAGAGGCAGGTGAATCTCTCTGAGTTCAAGGCCAGCTTGGTCTACATAGTGAGTTCTAGGACAGCTAGGGGCTACAGGGAAACCCTGTCTCAAAAAGACCAAAAAAGAAAAAAAAGAAAAGGTGGGTCTCTAAAAAGGAAATCTCTAAGGTCAGCAAGATGGATCAGTGAGTAAGGACACTTGCTGCCATGCTGGAAAAACTGAGTTCATTCTCTTGGACCCACATGATAGGAGAGAACTGACTCCCAAGGGTTTTCCTGACCTCCACTCACCCACTGTGGCATTCGTGCTGATGCCCACCCACCTCATCACAAAATAATACATCAATAAAATGTAATAAAAAAAATTTTTTTTAAAAAAGGAAGGGGGGCTGGAGAGATGGCTCAGCAATAAAGAATACCAATTGTTCTTGCAGAAGACCTGGGTTCATATCCCAGCACCCACATGGCAGCTAACAAGTGTCTGCCCCTCCAGTCCCGGGATCCCACAGCCTCTTCTGACCTCCACGGGCATTGCACAACATGGGTGTACTTACCTACATGCAGGCAATACACATATACACGGGGAGGGCATAAGGAAGGCAGCATGGTGGCATACTCCTTTATCCTTTAATCCCAGCACTCAGGAAGCAGAGGCAGGTGGATCTCTGGGAGTTCCAGGCCAGCCTGGCATACATAGTGAGACACTGTCTCAAAAAGAAAATCTCTAAAACAAAATATTTTATAATATCTTTTAA